CATGTTAACCTCCGACCCCCGACCCAAAGACCCCTGTTGGCGCAACTTGGAAAAGCCGCGGGCGGCAAGGACTGACGCGAGGGGGTCACCCGACGCGTCAAAATAAGACGCAGAGGGAACCTTGGAAAAGTGTCAAAATATTGACGAGTCGGGAGTGAGAATGTGTTAGTTACACATACAAACACACTCTTCCATGAACCGGACCCTCGTGGGTTCATTTAGGCTGAGCATTTCTAACTGAACTGGATTTTTGTTCAGAATAAATTGACTTAAATAAATAATTTAAYTGATCTTTTCCTCGTGCATATCTTCTATATCCTCCACAGTTTGATGGTTTTTGTAGAAAGTAGAAACAAGGAAAACATTTTAAACTGAAACTTTGTTTCCTCCATGCTGACTGCAACACAGTCAGTTTCTGTTGTTATGATGAGATAACCTTTAAAGGCTTTTATTTTGTAGAATCATTCCATGACCTTCAAAACATCCTGCTTGTACCTAAACATTTACCATGTAGTCGGACGTTTTTTTTTTTTTTCATCATCCAGGGGATCTTTGAGGATTTAGACTTCAACATCTGTTCCAGATGTTCCTTCAGCTTCTGGGACTTCAGTGTCTTCTTCAAGAAATTTAAATAACCATCACAYGTCCCACCTTCTGTTGCTAATTCAGAGACACTTAGACTGAGATGGGCTGCAGCGACGTAGACCATGGCCCACGTTGTCCACAGTCTAGGTGGGCCGCAGGTCGCTGGTGTGGGCTGCGTAAACAGCTGAAATGAGACGGTCTGGTCTACAGAAGATGTTTGTGTGACCACAGTGATACAATTTATATCACAGCTTCAGTTGTTTGTTTCAAGGTATAACTTCATAAAATTCAGTTTTTTTAGGAAAACGTAACAAGTAAATAAACAAAAAGCATTATTAATTTGGGTTTAGGTCCAGTAGCAGTACTTGAAACTGCATTTTATTTAACATCTTATTGCAACAAAACTTTCTTCAGTTAAGTTGGTTAACTTATATTCTTTGGTCCGTGATAAATCTCCAAATTCCGTCATTAAAAATAAAAACTGTCAACGTTGTTGTTTTTCTGTTTAATTTGCTGACGRCGCAATGAATTACTGGATACCATCAGCTGCAGATACTCAGATGCAGCCTACATTTTCGGGGTTTAGTTGGCGTCTATGTATTGTGACAGACTACAGCGCAGGGCGGTGACGTAAAGGGATGACAAACGCAGCCGACGTCGGCTGTAAGCCATGAATCGAGTCACTGTCCAATCCAGCTAAGTGATTTTTTTACAGAAGCCCTGTGAAAGCATCCCAGCTTTGCCGATCTCAGAGTGTTAAAAGAAAAAAAAAATTCCGGTATCCACATCTTTATCTGGAACATCACCACAGCTGCTGGGTTTGGGATCATGGTTCTGTTGTAGACCAGCTGATAATGGGTTTGTCTGAAACAGCATTGCTGCAGAAAATGATTGTTTTGAGTCCACTGGCTGACAATGTTTATAATAGTTTAACTCCAGCTGCCACACAAAGAATCCAGTTTTCTTCAGTTCCTTTCCAGCCTACAGTCCATTTGATCTGAATGTATTTGAGTTTTACAGTCCTGCTGCTTGTTTGCACCCTCAGGTGTGCCCTTCAGCAACACGTTTTCGCTGACAGATGTGCAAACATGTAGCAGGATCAAGTGAAACCAGGTTAGTTGTATCTTAATTACAGCTAATGGTTTATTATTTGAATGCCTCACAATAAAGAGATGCTGTTAACTTTAAATCATAAAGTCTAATTATGCCTGGCACGGTTCCACCTGCCCTATTAACGTCACGTCACTGTAAACAGGAGCGGCTGTATTTTACCAGGATRCAGTGGATGTCGTTCCCGTCCAGATCGGCTGCAGGAGCCTGCAGGAGCCTCCAGTCCCGGCCTTTGTTGTAGGTGATGTAGGTCCTCACCTGGTTGTCTTGTCTCTTGTTGGCAATTAACATGCCTTTAATTCCAGCCACCTGATAGACAGAAACACAACACTTTACGTTTGTCTTTTATGTTTCAAATACAAAACAACAGAACAGTGTTTTCCATCTAATGCTGCTGTCAATCCTCACAACAGTTGGGTTGTGATGAAAGAGCGTCTCCGGCTCTCTCATCATAAAAAGCCYGTTCTGCGTCTTGCAGCGACAGTCGTCACAACACCAGTTAAATGCAAATGAAACGCTTATCTCCTCCTCCTGTTGCTGACAGTGTCGCAGACGCTGTGAGGAGCYGGCTGCAGGTTCTCATTGTGAGAAGTGCTATCAGTAATTACWTCCTTACAGAAAGCCAAACAATGATAGGCACAGCTGTAACACACACACACTTGACCCTCGCAGAGCCAGCAGAACCTGACGCTTTCAGGAGTTTGTGCACAAAACCATTTGATGATTGTGTTCTGAAAACAGCACCGAAGTGAAACAAACTCCAGCTTTCATGTTTCACACTGAAGCTTTAAACTGAGATCATTTATGCTGAGAAATGAAGTCAAACTTTAAAAAAACATTAGGT